AAGCAATGCAAGCAGCTGTGGGGCCTTGGGCCTTCTCTTGGTCTCTCTGACCCAGCTGCAGTTTGTTAGGTAATTTTCAGATTGCAAAGGGCCAGGCCTTTCATATGCAAAAGCCTCTGCACACAGCTTGGGTGGGGCGGGGTCTCAGGGGATCAACAGGGCAGAGCAAGCAGCTATGGCTGCTCCTCAGCCCTATCCTAAGAGGCCCTGCGTCTCAGTGTCCTGGTAATCATTGCAAGCACCTCTGAGAGAGCTGCCTTCGAGTTCCAACCGATGCCAGACAGTCCAGTTTCTCCCTGTATGAGTCTGGGTCCCCAGAGACTCGCCCAGAACTGGAGTTCAGAGCAGTCTGGAGCTTGAGACTCCCAATTGAAAAAGACAACCATGTCCTCAGCTGCCAGCCGTTTCCACATGCGCCTCCGTACCTCTGCACTTTACTTCCGCACCTCCTCTGAGTCTCAGTGTGCTTTTTTCTTTCCTTCTAGTTGTAGAATTTCCACTCAGCCAGTCTTCCTGTGGTTCTGGATGATGTCCGTTTTGTCTTTTAGTTGTATTTTTGAAGTTGTGCGAGGCAGCAATTTCTGGTGTTTACCTGTGCCGCCATCTTGGTTTCTCTCAATAATTTTTTAAAAAATTTTTTATTGATTAAGTTATTACATATGTGTCCTTATCCCCACGATACCCCCCCCCACCCCCCAGTAATTCTTATTTCTACAAAAAGAAGGAGTGGAAGGACAGATTATTTCAGATATTCTTTGCTTGCTTGCTTTCAGATCTATTTTTTATTTTTATTTTTTAGGGAGAGTGTAAGAGAGGGAAAGACAGAGAAACATTGATGTGAAAGAAACACAATTGATTGGTTGCTTCCACCAGGGCCTGGGCTGGGGAGGAGCTTGCAACCGAGGTATGTGCCCTTGACTGGAATCAAACCCGGAACTCTTTGGTCCTCAGGCCAGTGCTCTATTCACTGAGCAAAACTGGCTAGTACCAGATCAGTTTTTATTGTTCAAAAGCTATCATCAGATGGCATAGAGTAGGTGATGCTGCTAACCTGAAGTAAAGATACCTGAACAATAGATTGATGGTTATCCAAAAAACCAAACTATCACTGTTGTCAGACACTTGAATACCTTCTGAGAACAGTAAAAACCAGTGATATGAGTAAGTGTTAGGCATTAACATTCTGTAAAAAGGTATTAAAATAATGAAATGCTTCAGCATTTTTTTTTTTTGGTTATATTTAGTAAAGAAATATCAAATGACTATGATTCTAAGGGTCATGTGATTATCATATACTTTTCTCTTCCACAGATGTGTTTCCACCAAATTCAGCTCATTCCACCTCCAAGAGTCAGTCTGATCTCAACAAGGAAAATCAAAAGCCCATTTGCAAGTCTGACAAATTTACAGAGGCAGACTCTCATAAGAATTCATCTTTAGTTGAATTAGAAGAAGGAGAAATTATAAGCGACAGTGAAAACTCTAAACTACAAAATGGTTTTGAAGAAATTGCCAAACCTAGAGCTTCTACTGAAGGGCAGAACAGAAAAACTAGTCCAGGAAATAAGAAAAGTACTGTGCATTTGGATAAAGACAAAAGGAAAACATCTATGAAAGTTCAACAGACCAAAAGGAATTGGAATAAGAGACAGAGTGAATCTAGCAGGTCTTCAAAAACAGAGAAAAAAGATAAGACAATGAGCACCTCCGTTCTGGAAAAAATAGTTCCAATTATTGCTGTACCTTCTTCTGTACCAGAGGTTATGCACATGTTACGAATGATAAGAAAACATGTAAGGAAAAACTACATGAAATTCAAGATTAAATTTCCATTAAAACAATTTCATAGAATTATTGAGTCAGCAATTTTGAGTTTTACATCACTCATTAAACACCTTGACTTATCCAAAATCTCTAAGTCAGTGACTACTTTACAGAAGAATCTTTGTGATGTTATAGAATCCAAACTTAAGCAAGTTAAAAAGAATGGCATAGTGGATCGGTTATTTGAACAACAACTACCAGATATGAAAAAGAAAGCATGGAAATTTGTAGATGAACAACTTGATCATTTATTTGCAAAGCTTAAGAAAATCTTAATAAAGTTTTGTGGTTTCACAAACTTTGGCAGTGATAGTGATGAAGGGAAATTGGACAAAAGTAAAGAAAAACTACAATATTCAAATTGTCAGAAGGGGAATATGGTCAACTCCAGCAAAGAAATGCCGAAAAAGAAATCCTCAAAATCAGAAGATTCTTATTACAGGGACTCACTAGGATGTAAAAAATCTGAGGTGAAAAAGAAATCCTCAAAATCAGAAGATTCTATTTATTACAGGGACTCACTAGGATGTAAAAAATCTGAGGACAAACATCAAGACCAAAATAACTCTGAAATTAACACATTAAAGAATGACATTAAAAAAAGCTTTAACACTTGCTTTGATAATAATATTAAATGCCCTCAATCTGAAGAGCATTCCTTGGAACTGAACTGTCCGAGCACCCCAAAGCCAGGAAAAATGGAAGGCACCACTATAGAGGATACACAGACATCCCAGCATGCAGCTTTGAAGCCAGAACGCTGTTTTGAGATTCTTACTGAACAGCAAGCATCTAGCCTCACTTTTAATTTAGTGAGTGATGCACAGATGGGTGAGATATTTAAAAGTTTGTTGCAAGGTTCTGATCTTTTGGACAACAGTGTTAACTGTAATGAAAAAAGTGAGTGGGAGTTAAAGACTCCAGAGAAACAGCTGTTAGAGAGTCTTAAGTGTGAATCTATACCAGCTTGTACAACAGAAGAGCTAGTTTCAGGGGTGGTTTCTCCATGTCCTAAAATGATTAGTGATGATAATTGGTCATTATTATCATCTGAGAAAGGCCCATCTCTGTCTTCAGGGCTGTCGTTGCCAGTTCATCCTGATGTGTTGGATGAAAGTTGTATGTTTGAAGTCTCCACTAACATAGCTTTAAGTAAAGATAATGTATGCAGTTCAGAAAAGAGCAAGCCCTGCATTTCTTCCATCCTGCTTGAAGATTTAGCAGTATCTTTAACAGTACCATCACCTCTGAAGTCGGATGGTCATCTCAGTTTTTTAAAGCCTGAAGTTTTGTCTAGTTCAACTCCTGAAGAGGTTATTAGTGCCCATTTTAGTGAAGACGCCTTACTTGAGGAAGAGGATGCATCGGAACAAGATATTCACTTAGCTCTGGAGTCTGATAATTCGAGCAGTAAATCAAGTTGTTCTTCATCATGGACAAGCCGGTCTGTTGCTCCAGGCTTTCAGTACCACCCTAATCTACCCATGCATGCTGTCATAATGGAAAAGTCCAATGATCACTTCATTGTGAAAATACGGCACACAGCACCACCTACTCCCTCCAGTCTTATACAGAATATGGTGGCTGGTGAGTCATTGACATCTTTGCCCAGAGTGGGAAAGGAAACTGATGAAGCAGCAGAGAAGGAATGTATTTCATGTCAGAACACAGTTTTTAAATCTGTGGAAGAATTGAAACATTCCAACGAAAATGTTGACAGCAGTAAATCAGCTCATGAAGAACAGGGTTGTATGATACAAACACAGGTTCCTGATATATATGAATTCCTTAAAGATGCTTCTGGTAAAGTGGATCATAGTAATGAAGTGGCTGATCAGTGCTTCAAGTTGCATCAAGTATGGGAACCAAAAGTGCCTGAAAGCATTGCAGGATTGCCTGCCATGGAAGAAATTCCACATTCTGTCGAGGGTCATCTTCCAAACACATATGTAGACCTCACAAAAGATCCAGTCACTGAGACTAAAAACTTGGGGGAATTCATAGAAGTAGGAGTTTTAAACAATCAGTTGGGATGTTCTGGTAGCAATTTGGATCAAAATGCTCAGATATTAGACAGTGTGCAGCCCGATACTGTAGATGCTTTTATTGATTTGACGCAAGGTGTTTCAAATGAGAGTAAAAGTGAAGATAACCATCCTGCTTTAGCTGTTGGACACTTGGAGTGTGAGGTGTTTTGTGTAGATGAAGGTAACTGTAAGGAAAAAAAGGTGCAAGTGGCAAACGAGTCTTTGGAATGCATGGTTGTGGAAAGCTGTATTGATTTGACCTCAGACTCTCCCAGTTCATGTGAAATAAAAAAGGATGATTTAAAATCAGAACCGGAATCAAATTCTGATAATTTAGAGTTGCCTGTGGCTTTGGATAATGCTCACAAAAAGAGGAAAAAACTTTCTAATCTAAATCATTCTTGTCAGAAAAAACAGAGAAAGGAAACGGACTTAATCAGTAAGGAAAGGACCAAGAAAATTACCCAAAATTCTGGTGAGAATGGAGAAGCTCACCAAAGGAAAGCCAGTAAGAAAAAGGCCCCTACAGTGATGAAAGATCCTTCATCATTAAAGGCAAGCCCCAGGATTAAGGACCACCCGTCAGCAGCATCTGGCACTTCTGTAAACCTTTCTGCAAAGAATATTATTAAAAAGAAAGGAGAAATTGTAGTTTCATGGACAAGGTAAGGATCTTATGAGACATTTTTTTATTTTTTTAATATGGAAGGCTTCATGAATTTGCATGTTCTAGCACAGGGGCCATGCTATTCTTCTCTGTATTGTTCCAATTTTAGTGTATGTGCTGCCAAATCAAGCACTTATGAGACATTTAAATCAACAGGAAACTTTGAGAAGCCAGAAATCTATACTGTCATGTCATAGTTCTATCCCACCCTAAAATAAGGAAAGTGATGACTTCAAAAGTAGTCAAAGTTAATAGAGAATACATTCTAGGGTATAATCTATAGCAGTAGCTCTTAACCAGGGATGTGCATTAGCACCATGGATAGAACTTTTCATTGTGTTTTAACCTAACTTTGTTAATTAAAAAAAATGATTCTTTGTAAAGAACTGGTATCACATTTTAGAAAGGAAGAATGATGGGTGGGGTGGTGAAATAGAGCAAAAAGTGTGACCATTTATAATTTGAGCATTTCCCTAAATTAAGAGTTTCCAAAAAGTTTATAAACAGATTGTACTTTTTACTTTTACGTGAACTGTTTGAGAAATGCTGATTTCAAGACCCCATTTCAGACATAAGGGTAGCCACAGTTGTAAACCATTTCACTAGAGCAGGGGTGGGGAACGTCCAGCCCATGGGCCGTATAAGGTCTATGAAATCATTTGGTCTGGCCCTGCCAAGGCATTAGGGGCAAGTTAATTAAGTGTTTGACCAAATATAGCAGGCTAATTTTTTTAAGTGGATAATTTTGTATGGCCCATGAATGATGTTTATAAATATCCAAATAGCCTTTGGCAGAAAAAAGTTCCCCACCCCTGCACTAGAGGTTCATGATCTGCAGGCTTAACTAGAGTGCATAATGAGGGAAGCTGAATTTTGAAATTGGTCATTATTTTATTTAATACCATATACATCTATGCCTTAATTTCTGGTAACTTGGAGATGACACAGTAAAATCTTAGAGATTGTAATAATACATATTGGTTCTGCCCATGTACAAAAAGCAGAGGCCTGGGTATTGGAAGATTTGGATTCTATTTTACTTTCGTTCTTTTGCTTATTAAGTCTGTCGTCATGTTTGACCCTAATTTTTAAGGTACTGTATACATTAAAGGTAGAATTTTTAAAAATCTATCCTTTTGTCATTAGAATAATAAATGAGTATGTTAGTTTTAGAGAATTTTGGAAATACGTATGTGCTTACAGATTATTGTCAATGTTTTGATATACACGCTTTTTCTTCTATGGGTTTTAATAAAAATGTCACCTATTGATGGACATTAAGACAGTGGAATTTTTGATACCTTTCTGCTTTAATCTACAAAAGCTAAATAACATTTTCTCCCTGTAGAAATGATGACCGGGAAATTTTATTGGAGTGTCAGAAAAGCGGGCCATCAATAGAAACATTTTCTTATGTAGCTGCCAAGTTGAATAAAGATTCATCTCAGGTAACTTCCCAATTTTTACATCTCTGTAGTTTCACAGATGTTACTACTTAAATACTTAGATTTCATTTTAACATATTTAAAATATGTAGATACTTATTGGCCAACTTCTTTAAAAGTATGGCTTTTTATGTTGGACTGTTAAAAACTTGGCGATTGTGGAAGAACAATCCTAATTTATTTTTCTGTTGTCTTACATTTACTTATTTTGATCTTAAACAATTTTGTAATGTTTATTGTTTAAGAAAGTTTAGTATTGATTCTTGAATTGGGGTAGTGAACACACAGTATGATACACAGATGATGTATAATAGAATTGTACACCTGAAACCTATATAATTTTATTAATATCACCCAATAAATTGAATTTAGAAAAGAAAGATTAATATTGAAAGTTAAATTAGCAATCACCTTTAGTATGAAGATATTTTATTTTTCCAGACATTACTTCATCTCTTTATTATTGACAGTAACTTTCTTTAGATGTTTTGTGGAAGTAGTCATAAAAAAAGATCTCATTGTAATACTTATAATTAATACTCATTTTTTACTTTTCAGGTCTCAGAAAGATTCCAGCAACTATTGAAGCTCTTTGAAAAGTCAAAATGCAGGTAGTTAATGGTTATACTACAGAAGATTAGTAAAATAGATCTTTGATACTGTAACTCTGCAGTTAATGGCCTTTAGTCATCAAAGATGTGAGTAGTGGGTGAGAGACATCCAGTTGGGGTCCTGCTTCAGTCAGAGGTTGGAGGATGATTGCTTGTGCAGGCTTCTAAGGTCACCAAACCCACAGGATGTGCTCAGAGTTGCATTTCAGATCAGCATGGCATTCCTCCTTAACCTTCCAACTGCTGATGAGTCTAAAGTGGGAGGGAATCCATTTGATCAATAAAAATTTTTAATATTTTAAAATATAAAACATATACTTGGAATCCATTGTCATCTGAATAGATGACATGATTTACCATGTTAAATTATTAATAATGTTCACAGACCTGTTTCCTC